TCCTAGAGCCGCCACTGCCAATAACATATACTAGACACCAGATTTGCCCTATTTTTCATTGAATGTAAGTAAAGTTATGAGAATATCTGAATTGTGGCTGCCATTTTGAAAATTGCCACCAAAAAATGTGTTCCACCTTTTTTCAGGAGGTTCATCCCCACTCAATTTCCTTTTTATACCCTGCTAAATCAGAAGAGAAGCTTGGTCCCCGAAAAATGGTCATGGGAGCCTTGATTTTTACTATACTACAATTACTCAACCATATCATTCTGAAATATAAAATGGAACAGTACTGTAAATAATTCGGCAGCTGAACATAAAATACATTCTTCTGTAGTTTATTTGGTAGAGTGAATAAGTGCTAGGAGAAGGAGCATCTATATTGTTACGTCATGTGAAATGCTCCACAGCTGAGCATTTGGTAGTAGTCGTATCCCTGGGTTCCTTTGGACTGGAGCCAATGTTCCCCTCCCAGAGAGCAGGTGGGTGTTACAGCATCTCTCTTCTATCATATTTAGGTAAGTTGAAGACAGTTCTTGTAACCAAATCGTGAAATATTGACAGTAGAGTTTTTTTCCCACTCACTATGGTCACACCAACTGTCTAAAACTTCAAACATCCAAGATGTTTTTTATACCAAAAAGCAGTGACACCTAAGTAACTTGAACACTATAAATAAAAATGTAGACAAATTAAACAGAAAGATTCTTTAATAAACAAATATATATATTGCATTCTCAATAACTGGTAAATATTGTGCATCTATAAAATATGTATACTGTAAAGTGCTAACTTTTGTGTATAAAAACTTCAAAATATACCTCTATAAAGAACCCTATGATTATGAGCTGTCATATTCATTATTAATAGTAGCACCTTGAATAAAGTGACTCTAATGTACTACTAGGTATTTCCCTTGTTGTAAATAAGCAATGCACTTTAGACTTAGAAAGATTACATTTTTAATATACAGTTAGTTCAATAAAATTACATTTTTTATATACTGTACACAATTGTACTTGCTTTCACATTTTTATGTACCATAATATCGATTACATCATATCAGAGTGAATTGTTACATCACATCTGTGTGAATTGTGTCCATAAGATTGAAATACTTGGCCTGTAATATTCATATAAATAAAACAGACAAAAAATAAATAAATGCTGACCGACTATTAACCCTGATTTTATTCTTTGTATTCTTTGATTCCTTGTAATCTTGAAATCATTAGACATGAAACAGTAGTTTTGAAGACAACGTCCACATTACACCCTCCTAAGCTGATCAGAAGAAAAATCCAACATAATAAAGTCCTGAAACTAGATTTTTAGAAAAATACTTTCATGGCATATTTGATACCATGTCTGTAAATACATGGCAGCTACCTGTACTCTATTATATGATACTGAAGTTTACAAGCAATAGTTTCACATTAACTATTTGGATGTTTAAGGTTCCTTTCAAGCCCTGAAATCATTCGCAAATCATGTTTTGTGGTTTTGTAAGTATGCCAGCTAGAAGCAGTTTACTTTTCACTTGTTCAATGTTCGAGTAACTAAACAGTTAAAAACTAACCGCTCAGTGTTGCTAGTGCCATTCAAGTTACTGTGTGCTTTGATATACATCTTTCTCAGCAGTTTTCCTTTTGTTAAAGATGTGAACTGGATGCAAGTCATTTCATTAAACACTTTAATGAACTGGGTTTACCACAAAGACGAAGGGATTTGCCAAATAATTACCTGGAAGACTCAATCATAAATTTAGACCTACAGTTCTTTAAATCTACGCTTGTATACCATTTCCTGTTATCAATTTAGTGGATACAATGTAATCTTCGGTAGAATATCCGTATTATGTCCTATTCTTGTATTTTGTTAATCAGTCATCCTGAAAAATATAACAAGAAAGTTGTTATTATCCTGATGCATGACAGTCTGTTCCTCTAGCATCACTACTACAAATGTTGATCTACAACAATATTGCTTCCGTCGCCACCATAGTCAGCCCTGCTGATGCATCACCAAATTATTATTACCTTTGTCTTCATCAATTAATCTCAACATCACCATCACCACTATCATCAGCATTGTTGCCATCAATACCAACATAATATCATTATTTTTATTGCTATCACCATCACTATCTTCATAATCACCATAATAAATTTCCCAATATTGCCAATTACCAATATTTGGAATTGGATAAATAAGGAAATTTAATTTTTAATCTTTCATCATTATTACATTCATCATCTAACATTGACCTTGAAATTCCAATATTATCATAATTATTACCATAATCACCCAAATATTATTACCATCAAATCCTCCACTACTACAGGGGTGGTGCTAGGGCCCCCCCGTTGGGGAGAAAAACCACAATTTGTCAGAGAGAAAAAAAATGTATATGTATTTCTACATATTAGTAGACTCTAAAATCGACTAAATAAGCCTTTGACACTGCTAAAGTTTCATATTTTTTGGGAGCTTCATCTCCCTGGAACACATTCGATAGATTTTGAGCGATGCCTGACCACACCCACTTTTTATCGATGACATCGGCTCCCGTCATGGATGTGGGGTCCCGTCGGGCAAATCCTGGCGCCACCCCAACACCACTATCATCATTATCATTAGCTTCATCATAATCTTTATTACTCTCACCATGACCAACATCTTCTCAATAGACCTTTCCACTAAGCCCCGCCCCTTGGATATTGTTGGTAAGGCCCCACAAGACGACTGTTAAAACATACGCAAACATGTGCGTTTGTGGGCCAACACATGTGTTTGTGAGACGTGCGCATATTCCTAGCGCTGTTCTGATTGGTCAGTTATTAAGTTTGATTGACACTCAAGAAAGGTCTATTATTATCAACATCATCTTTCCTGTTATCATCTTTATCACTGTTGTCATTGCTGCTGCTGCCGTTTTCATCCTTGTCAGCATTACCAAAATTCACATCATATCACCTTATTTTGCAATCTAGCTCCCCCCCCCCACCCACTTAATAATTGAGCAAACACTCTGTCTTCGCTACCCCATCACCCCCCCACCACCCAAAGATGCCAGGCTATGTTCATACACACAAACTAAAGGATAACAGAATGCAGATTGATAACATACATGTTTGGAGTTGCGTTCATACAAAAAATCCCAAATCCAAATATCAAGAAGATGACGGTGGGACCATTGAACAATAGAAAATTGGAAATGTGTACATCTGGTTGGTTAATGATAGAAATGAGGTCAACTTGCTTACCCATAGCGCTCGCTAAGCGTTAACATATCCACTTCCTGGTAACAGTTAGTGCTAACCGATTGGGCATTCTCACATGACTGCTAATGGTTAGCTCCCAATCTGGATATATAAGGCTCTTCAGTAGTTTGAACCTAACCCTAGGTACACCCACGGCACCACTTACCCATTCATCATCATCTGCTCCAGCATTGTCTTGGTTACTTGAATCAGTGGGAGCATCTTGTTCTTTGGAAGCAAACACTTTATCTGTCCAGGATGCACCAACTTCTGAGCCACCTGCATAGTTACACACCTTAGAAGATATAGTATCCAACTTGGTAATAGAGACTGTGGAAGAAAAGATATACAAAGGTAAGTTAAGGTACAAGCAGTGGCGGCTCTAGGATATATTTTCTGGTGGGGAGGGGGGATTGAGCTGGCCGACAGGGGACTTGAGCTAGTAGGCCTGGGGTGGGGGAAGGGTTTGAGAGGGGGGTTCCCCCTCCCAAATGAGATTTTTTAAGAATAGGAACCTCTGGATTACTAGAAATGACACTCTTAGACTGTGACAGACATGTGTTGGCTTGGCGTGGGCCTATTTTTATATCTTTTCCACTCTGACTGCCTGAGGAGCCCTGTCCAATGAGGGGGGGGACTTCTTTTCAGATGGGGTCTTGACCTGTCTGGTGGGGGGACTTAAGCCCCTGCTTTTCCCCACTGGCACTGCTACTGGGTATAAGACTACAACAGAGTGGTGATGGATGATAAACCCTGATAGATTTTGTATTTTGATTGATGAAATCAAATATAATACAAGAGCATTAAATAAATATGAAATCAGAAGGGACTGTTGCAAGTAGAAAATGGTGGCAGCATGCGGCCGCCCCAAGGCAAAGCAACATACTCACATTTTTGGTGATTTTGAGATAATACCGTATGAGAGTATACAAAACACTCCTAAATTACCTGTAAAAATTTCAGGTCTCAACAATGAGTCTTTTCAGAGATTGTAGAACCACTTATCTTTAGGCATAAAACCCAAATTCTAGTGATTTTCTGTGGTTAAACAAAGTAACTGAAAGATTACAGGGCAAAACAACGTATCTTCAATGAAGATAAGTTGTCTTGCTTCCAAATGATATTATTCAAAAAATTTTTTGAGCTGATGGAGTGATCTGGTTGATCGTATAATTTATATTAACAACCTTAAAAATGGCATATGAACAAGCTAAGTAATGCATATGATTGCCTCAGATGTGATGAATTAAAAGAATAAGTTGCATTTGCGGCAATACCGCAATATACTAAATTTTATATATAATCATAATTTCTATAGATCTATGGTCCTACAAAATTTCAGAAGGCTATGACAATGTTATACAATGCAATCAACAGTTAATTACCGATCTGATATCAACTATATTTCACTGGATCACCTTGTTTAGTTCTTGTATATTACCAGCTGCTTAAATATTCATACTCACATACAAATGGACTGTCACCGTTCGTTTTTAAGCGGATTTTTTCATCAATGTCAACTTCCATTTTGTTCATGTCAGCCTCCAGTATCCAGAATGCTCCACATCCTTTTGGTGTGAGAGTGTCTGTTATGGAGGCTAATGGTGACTTCTTTATTGCTTTCAAAACTTCAGAGAATTCAACCATATCTGTTTGACCTTTTGCTTCAAGTTCTACAAAGATGGAACACTTGTCAGTAATAATCTCAATCAGAATCCAGTGTATTAGTCATCTGCACATAATTAGTTTCAGGTTCATATTTATATTATGTCAAATAAAAACAAGAATTGATAAACCTGCACATAAATACAATACACTGAATGGAGAAAATGAATGAATGAATGTTTAAAATCTAAGCATTGATTCATGCCTCTGTCTGTTAAATCAAATGGTACTGTTGTTAGCCCAAAAGCGAATATACAGTATATGCAACAAGAGCTCTGGTATTGATGCAAGAGCTCTGGAATGCCCATGGTACATACAGGTGTTGAGTGTCTCGGCGTGGCACAGGGCTTGCTCGCAAATAACAAAAAAGCTCCAAAATAAATGGTAATACTGTATACACACCAAAAGGCATAGAATGTAGTATTCCAAACAACCAGTGCAGGAGAATATAGTTAAAATTTTCCATAAATTTAAGATACTTTACCGTATTTTTAATTAGGCCTAAAAAAAATGTTTGTTTGTACTTTAATGCTGTAAATTGTATAGGAGGGGCAGGCGCAAGATTTTTTTTTTTTTTTAATTGGAAAAAAAAAACAAACTTGTTACAACCCACACCTAGCTCACTGAAAAATCAGGGGGGGGGGGGGGTTGCTTTAACAAAAAATTTTATGAGGGTATTAGTGAGGGTATTAGAAAAAAAAACTTTTTAAAAGCACTGCCCCTATTTTTCAGTGAGCTAGGTTTGGGTTTTAAAAAGTTTTTTTTTTCCCAATTAAAAAAAAAAAAAAACTTTTTTTGGTAACATTTGGTGAACTCTAATAATGAGAGTGGATTTTAAGGATGGAAAAATCGGTTAATACAGGCAGGTAGAGGGCCATGAAATTAGTTTTAGACTGGGTGGAAAACTTCAAAGCTGAGTGGCCCCACCCACCTCCGCCCACCACAACTACATCCCTGAATAATCATTAATAAGGTAAAGTATTGGTGTGAAAGAAGTCATAATAAGTTATAAAAGCTTTAAGGCATGACCTGTAGAATAAGAAAAATAGTGAGTCTTATCTTTGTTAGAGCGACACAAAGCATTTTCTCTAGACTTGAAATTGCTATTTTTTTACAATATTCTTTCATAATTTATATAAATTAACCTTAATTTTAACAACAAAAATACTGTACTGTATTACCAAACAATTATAATTTTTAAGTGATATGCTTTATTCTGTCAACAAAATTGTTTAATAACAACTTTCATCTGATATACTTACTGTATGAGGAATTAAGGTACCCAGTGTTTTTCACCATATTGGCACTAAAGTTTGGTTCAATTTCTTCACCTTTGATGCTGTATTGTCTACGATGAGCAATGCTGACTTGAATGTACAATACATAGAAGCGATACTGCATTAATTCAACAGAAAAAATACTGTATTATAAATTAAAAACAATAAACATATTTAATCCTGAAATAATAGCCTGATTAACTTAGAAATTGGTGCATTAGGATGTTTTGGTTAATGTTGTTGTTGTGGTTCTTGCTGTGTGTTTGTGGTTGCTAAAGTTGCTTGTTGTTGTGGATTTTTTTTTTTTTTTAATTATTCTGTAGTAGTTGTTGTTTTTCTGGTTGTGGTCCTTGTTTTTGTTGTGGTTGTTGTGAGACTGTTGATGTAGCTATTGTTGCTGCTGTTGTTATATTTATTGTTTGTTGTTGCTGTGGTTGCTGTTGTTGCTATATGTGATGTTGTTTTTGTTGCTGTTGTTGGTTTTGTTGTGTTTTTGGCTGTTGATGCTTTTTTTTAGAAATATCTGGTGCTACACTTAATTGTACCAAAATTAAATCAATATTATTAATATTAATATGTTAAATACCTATACCAATGATAAAAATATTTAAAATAATAATTGAATACCATTAAATTTTAGAGACTTGATTCTTAAATACTCATGGATTATATTACTACCTTTGCCTGGTTGGTGTCACATATCACATGCCTTGTTTTTGCCTTCAAAACCCCCTCCAACAGGAAACCCTTGCCACTGAAAAATAAAATCATGACAGTACAATCAACATAAAAAATGTTATGTATGCTATATATTGTAGTATAGTGTCAGTGGTCGATCCAGGGATTCAAAATAGAGAGGGCCTGGGGATGTACTTTCACAAATGGAGGATCTATACCCCCTCAGCCCCACCATAGTGCGGGCTGAGGTAAGAAATTTTTGATTATGGCACCTCTCAACAGCTGGAAATTGCACTATCAGACTTATAATTTGAATATAATTTTCTTCATACCTCCATTTTTATTTTTTTTATTTTGAACAATTTAGGGGGAACCCGGACCGGCTAGGCACCCCCCTCCCCCACCCCTTGAATCCACCACTGAGTTTCATGATAAATAATAGAGCTTACAATCATCTCAAGGTGCTTCAAATAAAAATAAATAATATGGCATAAAACCAGAGGCAATCGGATTCAACAAAGAAACAGAGATGTGGCTAAAAAGTCAAAGTTGAATTGAGTGGTGTTTAAAGCCTGGTTTCCTGTCGACGTAAAAGTCAGAATTCCTTACGATTCATATGATTCTTACGCAAAGTTAAAAAAAATCCAACGTCCACGACGTATATCTTGATCGTGTCGGGCCGCAGAAAATAGAGTGAAATGTAGCCGCTTACGAAAGTTGGAATCCAAACGTCCAACCCAATTTTTCAGTCCTCACGACTCTTACGTTGAGTTGAACTTTTCTTGCAATTGTGCATCAAATAAATGACGTAATGCGTAGTCCTCTCTGATTGGTTGTCTTTTATCCCGGGGTCGTGGGAAATAATTTCAATTTCGTGCGAATACCGGCCTCTTTCCAAGTCTATTTTGGTTGAGAATAATGAACAAACATGCCTATCAACAAGAAGCTCCTTGCAAAGAAGTTACTTTGCTTTAGAATTTTACAGAGAAGAAAGAGAAGAGAATAATGTACAAAGACGAGGGCAAGTCATAAGTTCAGGACGAGAAAAGTTCTGATGGAAAGGGTGAGCCACGGCCAATACCACACTCTGTTCAAGACCCTGATCAATCAGGACAGAGAATGGTTTTTTAGGTAGGTCTAGGCCTAGCTAGAGGCTATGTGTATTTAACTACTGTAGGAACTAGAGGATCTTAAATAATATATTACTACTACAGTAAGTAGGCGTAGGCCTATAGTACAGTATCTGTCTGCATGACCATGGGTTCGGTCTCCTAGCTAGGGCCCGCCGTAGGTTGGCCCTAGCTAGGCCTACCTATAATATTGGCCTAGGCTGCATACATCCGAAGGGCCTTGGTAGGCCTACTTGTTTGGATTGGAGGGAGCAGGGCCTAGGCCTAATGTTATTTTAAATCTTGTCAACAACATAAAGGCTCATGGTGTACACAGGAATAAAGATGGAGGTTTCCACATTGTTTTCGAAGATGACCAACTCAAACAGATCACATTAAACAAGCCATCAGCGCAATTAATTCTATACCCGGCGACTACTGAATTCTTCTCATATGATGTTCCTTTCCCAGATATATTCAATAATGTCCTACCAGATACATCTCATACGCGACAATTGCCCGAACCGGATCTCCAGCGTATTCTTGATCTGCCTTCAAGGTCTATAAGTATCAAACTCCTACAGCAACTAATATTTCACCATCTTGCTCACATGTACAGAATACTAAGGGATGAGTCTGTAATCCTTCTACCTGGACGAGAAAGTGGCAGTGAATCAGTTGATGATTATTTGTGGGGCCATGGGGAAGAACAAATTGCTATATACACCAAGCATTCCAAAAAATTCCATCAATAAATGCTTTTTAAATATGGCAATGTATTTACAGGATATGAAATGAAATTTATCGATGTCGTACCCCAGCTTCTACAGAGATACCCATTTCACTCCGTCATGAGGCTTTCCACGGAGCAGGGAGAACATTCACATTACATGGACATGTGCAGATACTATCAGCACTCTACTTGCGGTTGTGGATCAAACAAACAGGACCCCATTATGAAAATATTTGAATGGCAGTGGAGGATGGTCCACCACCGCATGCGTGATTGTCCAATGGACGTACAGTACGAGAACAGTTCAACAATTACATATTAAACAAAATGCGTCTCGAGGAAGAACGCAACACGGGCCCTAACGATGAACACAACCCTGGCCATAATGGCGAAGGCAATCTGGGCCCTAACGATGAACGAAATCTTGGCCCGAACGACGAACGCAATCTGGTCCCTAACGATGAAGGCAACCCTGGCCCTAATGACGAAGGCAATCCGGGACCTAACGATGAATGAAACATTGAACCGAACGACGAATGCAATCCGGGCACTAACGATGAACGCAACCCTGGCCCAAACGACGAAGGCAACCTGGGCCCTAACAATGAACGCAACCCGAGCCCTAAAGATGATCGCAACCTGGGCTCTAACGATGAACACAACCAACGCAACATTGGCCCAAACAATATCCTGACTTCATCGAAGGCCCTGGAGGGGAGATCTGTTGTCATAGTGGGACGACTGTATAAACCACATGAGAAAATAAAAGAAATAATTAATAAAAATGGAGGAAGCTTTTGGTGGAGAGGGCTACCAAAAGATAACATCCCACTTACGTATTTAGTTGTCATAACGACACAAGCCGAGTGTGAAAGAGAACCAAAAAAATTTGCCTCGACATTAGCAGAGTGTTTTAGATGAGGGGTGATGGACTGCTTCGAAGTTTCGAAAATGGGACTTTTACAACGTTGGAAGACTATAAATTAAATCTAACTCGACTTACGAATGCTCCATGCTCATCAATTCAGTCTCTGGTACCTGACAAAAAGCATCATACAATATAACAGGTTAGTGTCTTCTTTATTTTCAATTAAATCATACCGCTACCCTTGTTTTATGCATCTCTTTCGATAGGCGTATTATTTATAATGGTACCGTAGGTACTGTAAAGTCAAAAGTACCCCAGGTGATTACTCTATTACTTTAGTAATTTCATGCCACAACTACGATGACAGGGACCGAAATGAACCAGAGCATCGCGGTAAAAGCCTGTTTATGACAATATGACGTTATTTACATAGGTCTAACCAATTACATTTATTATGTTCAACAGCAAAGAACCGAGTGCATATGCCATGTTAAAGAGAAAAGAGCACCAGAAGAGACAACCGTTGCAAGTGATTTGCCAAAATGTGCAAATGAAAAGGAAGCATAGAAAAACGAACCCTGTAAAGAAAAGACGGATGTCAGGATATAACATGTTCGTTCAAGCCAACATGCCACAGGTAAAACGAAATCAGAATTCATTTCTAAATAGGCGTACGTAGTTAATTCCGTGACAGTCCGAGTGTAGGTTGTGACGTCATTAAAACACAACACATTATCATTAACGAGAAAGGACCAGTCATTATTTTTACGCGAATATAAAACACTCATATGGGGGAATGAGGGTCACTTTTTAGGAAAAATTTGACATTTCAAATGACGTCAAAATTGACGTCATTATGTACGTTTAATTATTATTTTATACCCGTTTGGATGTACAGTAGGCCTAATTCATACCAGTTTTCATTATATTTATTATTATTATTTTTTTCATTATTTCCTTTTATTAATTATTTTTCCCGAAAAATGGTTCCACCTATGTGTTTGCAAGATATGATACAAACTCTGAAGTAAGGGATGCAAACCATCTTGTAAATACAGTTCGAAATACAGAACACGATGGCTTTCATCACTTTCTTCGGAGTTTGTATCATACTCTCACCATCTTATTAGGTTTTAATGTTTTGTTAATTAACTTTCAATTTATTTGTTTGTGTAGTGAGTTTATACATCGGAATAAATGAAATACTCTACTCTTGTGAAAATGATTAAAAAGTAATGAAAGACTCCTAAGATATCACACGATCACAAATAGAACAATTAATTGATGTAATTTGTATGCAGTAGGCCCATAACTTAAATGACACTAAACATAACCACCCTTTTTTCTAAATAAGAACCAGTAAAATTTTTCCTAGGCTCAGTGTTCTTACTGTATCTCTGTTATTTTATTTTCTTATCTTGTTTTTATTTTACACACTTTTTAAATGCGAAAATTATTATTGTACAGTCAGTATATACTACTGTACTGGAATGTAGATAAAAATGGCCCCAGAAAATGGCCCCAGAAAATGGCCCTAAAATAGCCCCAAATGACAGGGTACGGTACTGTCCACCTACTGTGTTGTATTATACAGGGTAATTCATTGTCACACCTACTGCACATAAGATACAGATATTTTGTTTTTGTATTTTATACAATATATATAGAAACATCATTTTACACTTTACCTTTTTCTTATGTTGTTCTTAATTTTTAAGCAATTTCAGCCTCTGTGTTCTTATAAAATGTGTTCTTATTTTAAAAAAAGTTGTATCTGGTATAGGTAGAGTATATTAGTTGTAGATTTTTTGCTGTACAAATTGGAGAGGTATTTTCAATATGATGTTTCTTTTAACTTCAGATAATGTGTGACCACCAAGATCTAGAATTCATTGAGAGAAACACGAAAGTTAATCAGCTATGGAGAGAATATGTACTGAAGATCAACGACAGGAGTGGAACGAACGTGCTCGTCGTGGTAATGACCACGAGGAAGTGTAAAAATGCTCGCAAGTGTGTCCTTCTGACCCACGTACGTACGTTTATAAATTTAGAAAACGTTTTCTCTATGGTCTATCACAACTTTAAAACAGTTTATTAGTTAGCAAAAGAAAATAACAATACTGACGATATAATTTTGAATAGATACCACATACACAGTGAACGGCAAATCTCAACGTTACTCGCTTATAATTGGACCACAGAGGAAGCTCTGTGATTGGACAATGCTAACAGATCAGGCGGCATTTATGAAGCGTATCATACGCCATGATCAATACACTCAACCATTATTTTGTTTCTTTTTGTATTCTTCACACGAACATAGACTATGGAAAAGGCAGGCAGCATGAATCCGGTGTCGCAGT